AACGTCCTGAGTGTGCTCCACCTGCGCGCCACTCCAGCAACCCAGCAAACCTTTTACCCAGATTGTCACACTTTTCCAGAGGAAAACAAGGATGTACAAAACGAACGCGTCGTGTGTTGGTGTGTAGGCGTGCGCGTGCGCGTGCGCTTTGCTGAGGTTTTATTCGTTGTCACTGAATTTCGCCTAGAGGCCGATGTCGCCGCCACTTGTTTTTCTCCTCCTTCCTCACTCTCCGCGCGAGCTGCAGATTAGATTGAAAACGCTCATCTTTCCGGCAACAACATCTTTTACACCACCCTAACAACACAGTACTGCCCCCCCCCCTTTCTCACTGCCACCTGCGCGTTTTTGCGAGTGATACTCATCCCTCCCAGCTTATATGCGTGTGCGTGCCCTTGCCAGCAACACCCGCACCCGAGCCTACGCCCCCTCGCTTCCCTGCCGCACCTCCCACCACCACCTTCGCCTCCAGTCCACCACCTTCGTCACCGCCCTTTTCAACGCAAGACCGATGAGTAGCACGACCAAGCAGCGCAAGTCGCCATCGCTGGCGGCCGACATCGCGGTCATGCGCGAGCGAGAGGGCAAGCGCGAGCTGCTGATGATCAAGCGAGGCGGCCGCACCTTCCACGGCTGCCTCGCCTTCCCGGGCGGGTTCGTGGAGTACGGGGAGGAGCCCAAGCACGCCGCCCTCCGCGAACTGCAGGAAGAGACGTCCCTCGTCGGCACCGACCCGCAGCTCGTCGGCGTTTACGGCGACCCCGCTCGTGATATCCTCTCACCTCTTCCCCGCGTTGTGTGTCGTGTGTGTCGTGTGTGCGTGTGCGTGTGCGTGCGGTGTGTGTGTCGTGTGTCGTTGTGGTCTCCTTAACTCGTGTCAACATCCGCGTGGACACACGGTGAGCACCTTCTACTACGTTACTGTCAAGGATTTCTCGACCATGAAGGTACGTTGCGGCCAAGGGTGATGGTGAGGGTGCAGGCTGTTGGAGCTGACGGGGTTTCTTTCATGTTGGGTGCGGCGCCAGGCGGGTGATGATGCAGCTCACGCCGACTTCTACGATGTGGAGGAGCTCAAGGGCCAAACCGACAAGATGGCCTTCGACCACGCCTTGCTGCTCCACGACCTTCTTGAGTTCGTCAAGAAGCACAACATCGACATCCCACGCGCGTAGCTCGCTGGCTTTGTTGACATTTGGCCCAATGAACACTTTCAGTCTTTGCGTGTCCCAGTGTGCTGTGAATCACGGCCTCACATTTCCTTTTGGCCGTTGCAGGTTCCTGTTCTAACATCACCTTGAGGGCCCTCTGCTCGCTCATCAAGCCTTGCGTGCTTCAGTTTGCGAGTTGTTCTTCGTCGGTCTTGCGAAAGCGCAGATGCTCGGCGCTTGAGAGCGGTACAGCCAGGGGCACGAGGGACACTCGCGGGGCGTGATTTCGGAGGAAGGCAAAGAATGAAGAAAGAGCGAATGACGATGCCGCAAAGAATGAAGGGAAGAATGAAGTAATTCACAAGAACCACGCGCATTCTTCGTTGCAAGGAATTGAAAACAACAGCCACGCACCCCCGACTCGAAGCTTCAAGATGGAAGTACCCGTTGATCGACAGGCGTTCGAATTGGTCTGGTATGTTCGACCTAATTAATTTTTTGCTATAGCTGAATTGTAGAGGTATCAATGCTTCAATTTCGGCCTGCTCACCCCCACTCATCTTTCCACATCACACCAGCGACGACATCTTCGTCACCCCTCGTGAGGCTCGGTGGGTATGTGTACTCAGCCCTTGTTTTTAATTTTGTTTCCTGATCGTTTTCTTGGCCAGTTGTCCCAGGAGAAGGGGATCAACGAACTGTTTGAACGCGCCGCCAAGCTTGTTCCAGGAGAGGGCAAGGTACGCTTTTGGTTGGCGTTCTACTTCTCCATTGAGCTCATTTACTTCTTTTTCTGTGATCGGAAGACCAAAGCTCTTGAGGCCACAGCAGTCCGCTTGAGCAAAGAATGGTCCGCTGTTTTGGAGGTGCATGAAGCACCCGACAGCCTTGTGAAGGAGGTACTTGGCGTGCGCATGGCCGCCAAAGAAAAAGATTTGTTGAGTGGCTCCCAGAAACCACGACGGGCTTTGTACAAGCTTCAACTTGACGCGGTACGTCAAACTCACAACAACCAGACCCTGCTCACTCCATGCACTTACCTTGTTTGAGAAACAGCCCGTGACTTCAGCCCCGGAGGAAGTGCAGCTCTCCATGCCGATCAAGAGGCTCTCCATTGTCGGAGGCGTACATGCACTCCTGTTCGCCCTTTTGCCTCGTGGGGTCTTTCACTAAAAGAGGTGTTTGCTGTTTCAGGCTCAGACCTTGGAAAGAACCGAAGCCCTGCAGCAATTCCTACGACAGGTGAGGCCGAAAGAGCTTGATCTCCATGAAGCCAATCCTGCTCTGGTGCGGGCTCTTCTCAAGAGTATTGCTACTGAGCCCAAGGGAGAGCATGTGTTCAAGGTACTTAAACCTATCTCATGTTGGTGTGCACTCTTTTTGGGCAAGGTATACTCATTCATGCTTCAGAAGCTCGATTTGCGTGGGTTTGAGGTAACTGCAGATGATTACGACTTCATCATGAGGCTAGGTCACTTCCGTAGGATAAAGTTCCTTGACCTGCGTGGTCACGCCATTTCAGGTGAGATTGCATATCTCCTCTCTCACCTCGCCCGTGTCTGGATGAGCCTTGTCTCTCTTGGTGTTACGGTACAGCTCTTTTTCTTGGCTGCTATTGGTTGGTGGCATTACTGAACCAGTGTCCTTGGCAGACTGCATCAGTACGGGACGCAGCAGTCATTGCCAAACGTGGAGACCATCTCCAGGCCCTCTACTTGGATGGAGAATGGACCTCCTCTGCTTGGAACACAACATGCGCCTCTCAGTGTGTTGCTTCATTTGTGGTACGCTGCCCTATACTTTTTTGTGAGACTGGGTGGAGGCTTAATGGTCTGGTTTGCCACTTGTGATAGGATGGGGACCTCAAGGTGACCTCAAGCTTTTGGTGCCCCTCAAAACTTGCGAAGGCATTGCCTGGTCGACTGTCTGTTTTGCGTCTTGGTGACACCCTTGCTCTCGCACCATTGGTACATGAGCCAACCCCCCCTCTCCAATTTATGCATCAAGGCCTGAACACAAAAGCTTGCTTTACCCCCTCCTGTTGCAGCGAGGCATTCTAAGTCACGGACCAGCTCGTCCCCATCATGACCTCGCACTGGCTCTTCTCGCACCAGCTCCACCAGCTCCTCGTCAGCTTGACCTTGCACCTGCTCCTCCAGACCTGGCGGAAGATCGAAACACACTTCGCGTGCCCGAGTTTCAGCGAAAGGGGACCATCCACTTCCTCATCGAGACCATGTCCGCCATTGGGCTGAAGACCACCTGGCGATCGGGTTCTTCTCGAAGGTCTATTGCTGGCTTCCCTCGCATCTAACTGTGCGCGGCCTCGCTGAGGACCTTATATCAGCCGAGTACGATAGACAGAAGGCTGCCGGCGCACTCGCTGGAGGTATGCCGCCACTTGTGGGTATGCATCAGGTATTGCGCTTAGTGATCCTCTCTCCTCCACCAACAGATGACCTTTCGGCGTTGCTCGTGGCCATTGGTTTCGAGCAGGAGGTCGTTGACAGCTTCGTCGCAAGGATCAAAGACCGCGAGTTTGTGCACCACCGGGGCTTGAGGAACGTCGCATTCGATCTCATCGACTCCGGCATTCACCGTTGGGCCACTGACTACTACACACCTTCGGGCGAGCCCGAAGATGGCGTGACCAAACCGAAAGGGTCAACTGGCTGCGGCCGCGACCAGGGGGACGGTGGCCAGAGCGGTGGCCAGGGCGGTGGCCGAAGCGGTGGCCAGGGCGGTGGCCGAAGCGGTGGCCAGGGCGGTGGCCGAAGCGGTGACAAGGACGGCGGAAGCGGCGGCAGCAGCGGCGGCGGCGATGACAGCGACAATGAGGAAGGTGGGAGGACAAGAACCAGCGCCGGGCAGGAGGAAGAGAAGGTCATCACCCTCTACCACGGGACCACATTCGGGTTTGCAGAGAGCATCTTTTACGACGGAGCCAACCTGAGCGAGGGACGCAGGAACACCGACTTCTCCATCGATAGGGCGTTCTACCTGGGCAACAACGCGTCGCTGGCACAGAGATGGGCGGATCAAAAAGCCTCTCAGAGTGAGGATGATCCGGTGCCGGCCTACTTGGTCTTCACGGTGAACACAAGGATGCTAGAGCGATACGAACGGAAGGTGTTTGACGAACCTGATGACAAGTGGAAACAAGTACGTCATTCTGGCCCACGCAGTCCATTTGTAATGCCCATGCCCTGGAATACTGACTGTTACCCAGTTTGTCTACAACAACAGAAAGCCCGTCAAAAGAAAACCCGTCATCAGAAAACCCGTGGCTACCGACAACGTCCCCGTGATCACGATCGATTTCGTCATTGGGCCTGTGCTCGCGAGCCTTGAACCACGGGCACGCCCTTTCTCCCTTGGTTTTTATTATTTTATTAGCTCTCGCGACTAAGCCTGCGTACCCATTTGGCAGAACTGGGCTGAGTGTGCAGAGATCGTGGAGAGGAAATACCCCTTCCGCCAGTATGCGGCGCTGACGCCGAGAGCCATCGAATTCCTAAACCTGTGCCCCTGCAAGGTGCGCGACTTTCTCTTGCACATTTAATTCGACAAGCTAAACTTTCAGCTATCAGCTGTGCAAGTGGGAAAACGGCAAGTGGATCGAGGTCGATCAAAGGCCGGGTTGATCGAGGGCAAAGAGGGTCTTCTTTCCCTCGCACAATCTGTATGCTTGTCCTTGAGAAATGCAATGCACGTTTGCCCTCGTGCCTTCTGAAGCTTCTTCTTGAGAAGATCGTGTTTGCGAAATGCGCCGCAGAGAATGGGCTTCAAGATGTGATAGGATTCCCCAAAGGCGCCCTCCTCTTGCGTGTGTTGGTTCGGGCCAATGTTCACGTCGCCAAAATGCACCTTTCACAGAGCGGCAAGTTTTACTCGCCAAGGGCCACCGAACCACCCCAACGTCCAACCTACGTCCTATGCTGTAAACCCTCTGTTCAGCGTAGCCCCTTGTGCTTCTTTCATGAGCATTGTGCTCGTCACGCTTCTGTTTTTTCTCCCAACATCACGCTTCTGTTTTTTCTCCCAATCCTCCCAACAATGTTCGAAATGGTTCGATCGAAAAGCTCCATCTATTCAAACACGCTTGTTCTTTCACTACACGGGCGAAGAGTGAAGTAAAACGGTGTTCTTCGCGTTCACCTTCTTTGATTCCTCTTTCTCCTTCTCTCTTTCCTCCCTCTTGCTCTTCCTTCGTCCGCTCATGATCTTGGGCTTGATCTTCATCAGCCGCGCCAGCTTGACCTTCTTCTTCTGCTGCTGCTGGTCCTTCTCGCCCGCCGCATCTTCCCACAGCTCTCCCTCCTCGTCCTCCTGCTGTCGCTCCCACTCCTCCACCCCGAGGTTGATCTCCTCCGCTGACTCGATGTCGCTTCCGCTTCGCAGCGCTTTGGTGCAGTCCTCCTCCGCTTCGCTCTCCTCCACCGCGCTCTCGCACTCGCTGTGCTGCTGCCGATGGCTTGCCTGGCGCCGTTCCCTCGGCGTCTTGTCGCCACCGCCGCCGCCCGACTGCTCCTCGCTTCGCTTTCGCTCTTTGGTGGTGGTCAATCCCCCGTCGCTTTCGCTCTTTTGGCGGTTCATCGCTGCTGTGGCGCTCTCCGTGGGCTCCGGCGTCGACTGCTGCTC